AAGTGCTGCTTCAGGTCGGTTCATTAATCCATAAGTACAAACCGAGACTATTTGTCCCACATATTCCTTTGTTTTGCAGAGTTTTGTAGGTTTCTGTAACTCTGGGGTCAGCAGCAACAGAGCAGCGTTGTTTGCTAATTAGCTCGCTGTGTAAAGCAGGACAGTGTGGGATTAATGAACAACACTGTACAAGATATTTGAGACCGCATTAGTGCATCATTGTGGTGTCAGTGTTCATACCTCTGTGGTACAAAGTGATACTATTACTGCAATTATTGTTGTGACAAATACTAACTCTCTCAGCTGAAAGTAGTAATCAGTTGCTGCCATATTCCAGTTTCATGTGTGCTTTTAGCAGCATTACTTATTTTTTCTATTCTAGTCAGATTTTAGCTCACATATTCTTATTTTTAGTCATTCATAGCACTTATATGTTATACTTTTCTACCACTGCATTTCTCATGTTGTGCAATTTTGTTTCCTGAGCAATACCTGTGACTAATAAAGTTTTATCCAATCTTTTACAACTTTTACATGTTCTGAACTTGAATTCTTGAACTGTGATCTTTCTCTTGAGCCAACAGTAGAGCTAATTGAGCGTTAACCAGACGGTCCCTCATAAAACTGGCGTTTGTATGTTTTTTCACTGTTAACATGTAAATAAATACTTTCTAAAAAATAATTGTCCCATATTTTATCTGTAATTTAGCAAAACAGGGTTACGATCATTTTTAAGGATCTACGGGGTCAGAAGTCACAGCAGCATGTGAATAAACCAGTATTGCAGGTTATATAAAGAAGCAGCTACTATTTTGAGATTCTCTGTGGTTCTGTCTCAGTTTGGACGACGCTGCCTCCATCAGAGCCGAGCCAGAACTCACCAGCTCCGTCCAAACGCCTCCTGAAGCCTCCTGCCGCTGGAACACCGGCCAGTAAAACCAGAGTCAAACCAAACGAACACAAACTCTAGTCGTCCTGTGTTCACTCTGAGCTGCCAAAAATGGAGCCGTCCAGGTTCTAACAAGCTCTGATTCACTTCAGGTTCCTCCTATTGTTTGGGTTTTATCAGCTGCTGTCGTGGAAACACCAGAAACAGGGTGTTCTCCAACAATGCTTTAAATCTACCTAAAAACACAGTGGAGCAGTGAGAGTCTATGCAAATAAACACTGATTTGTTCTAACTTTATCTGAAACTGCTTTATTTGCTGACAGTCACAGTACATTAATAGTTCTGCCAATGCACCTTACAGACCAACCACCTGCATAAATACTCTGTTCATTTGGTGTAATAAAGAGAATTCCTTCAGAAATAAGTAAACTTGAACACCTGTGCAAACTTATCCAAGCAAATGAATGAACTCTAACATGTAAGATTAATTAACTGGCTGCTTATTTTCAGTTTTGCACGAGAAAACCCTGTATTTTTTTAATTAAATCCTCAAATTCCAACACACCAGAGCAGACTTTTTTCATTTTTTTTCATATGAATTCTCATTTTTAGGTCAGACTGAGAGAAATGTTAGATCCCACGTGGCCAAGAATAGCGGCATATACAGTAAAATGACTGCTGGCACAGTTCAGATTCAACCACAAGAGCTCAAAATAGAGATCTGGTGCAAGAGAATGACATTTATTTTTATATGGATGGAGAAACAACCGACTGTTACTGTAAAATTGAGGGAAAAGGATCATTTGAGAAGCTGTGAAGCCTGTTTCAAAGTCACAAAGACATTAGCCAGGTCTGAAAACGTCTCTTCTAAACATAAATCTGTAAAGCACAAAAGAGCAGTCCTTCAGCCAGAGCTCAGACTGTGAATCTCATTGAATGGATACTTGCAGATGGCCAGATGGCCGCTCAAAGACAAAAAACTCCCCAAATTTATATCTCATTTGAAGAAACAAAACTGCCCAACGTTACGGCAAAGCAGGAGCTGGCTTTGGTGCAGCCAGAGGTGTTTCAATGTGGGGGGGATGTGAGAAAATGTCTGCTTTTTTTTAGGGCACTGACATGAGCCAATGATGGGAAATAGGGCATCAGCAATGTGTGGACCTAAAGACAGAACAATGGATGCAGGTGTTTAATGGCACAACAAGGCAATCTGAATAATTCCTCCACTGTAAAACTCTGTTTTAAGCCTGCAGCCTCTTAATATCTTCAATTTTCACTTGTGATATTTTAGCTTCAAGACAAACTTTAAAGATTTGTCAGCTAATTGTGATCAAAACTGTATATTGCAAACCACCTCTTTCCTAAACCTGTTTTGGGGAAGCAAACAACACAAATGTCATTAATAGACAATCAGCATCCAACATAAGTGAGTCAGAGAAAGTTTACAAAACTAAACAGGAGCAGATTGAAATTCGACTGTCATCTATCTGTACAGAAGAAAAGTGGAATCAACACCAAAACTGTGTCAAGAAAGAAGTTAGCTCTGAAAGTTTTTGCTGTTGAGGAGTCTACGAAAAGATCATAAAAAGTATCGGTACCGAGTCCCAAATTCGTACCATTCTCCTCGACAGTACACAAACCAAGTACATTTATGTTTTTAAATTCAATATCTCTGAAATGCATTAAGGAAAAAATGCATTTTTGCATCCAGTTTGTTCCTAAATGTTCTGGAGGTGGAACCCTGTTGTGAAGCTTCAGTAGAACACTGTCTAAATGTAGGATGTAGGATGTACTGTGGCTCCACAAGCTCCAACAGATGGAGAAAACCTGGATTCTCTACATGAAAATGTATCGTAGATCAGCTGTAGTACCTGGTTGCTCCACCAGGTGGAGCCTCTAACTGTTTAATACTGTAGAGACCAGAGGAGGCGTCACTCAGACTACAGATAGTTCATGTTGTCAAGCAGAGAGCATTGTGGGAGTTTAGCTAGCAACAGGCACCATGACAAAGACTTCTGTGGAGGTTAATCACCTCCAGCCAGCGCTCACTCAAGTTTACCAAATTAGAATCAACCAGGACAGTGTTCTTATACTTCAGTGTTTTATGTATTAAAGAAAACTTTGTGGTCAAAATAACAACTAAATGCCCTGTTTGTTTCATCAAGCAATTGATTAGTGATTGATAATGATTTCATTTATTTACAAAGAAAATTATTCAAAATGTGCTTCACGTTATGCCACAAGTTGTGCTCTTTCTTTACATCACCTGTCTGACAGCAGATGTAAACAAAGAATCAGGTTTAGATTAACACTGATCAGGACTTCCCTAATAAAATGACGAACAAAAATCTTCATCTCTGCTGTATTTATACGGCAACATTAGAGAATTAAAAACAGGTTGTTGCATGAGTTTCTCTTCTCTAAGCAACTCATGAATAACCTGCTGAACATGTGTTTCCATTATGCTGTGTCTTTAACTGAGCACCTTTCAGTCAGCCTCATGCATGTTTTTCACACTAGTGAACCTCTGGATTCACGGTGTGCTGTTTGTAGTCGATCAGAGACAGAAAGCCAAATGTTTTCTGACAGGACATCCACAGGGAACATCAGTGCAATCACTGCAAACCACACGTCTCTGACAAAAAGCCTCATATTCATGTCCAGCTCCGACTGTTTGGCTCCAGAATGATCTGATCTCTTTCACATCCCTGTTTCTGCTGCAGGACCGACCGATCCGCCTCTCATCTCTGCGTCTAGACGGTTATCGCTGCTGTTACGCAACGATTGAGCAACTTCAACCATTCATGGGAGATTCCTGCATCTAACTGTTAAATGAAGGCGATGAACCCTGACAAACCGTCAACACGAGAGATGACAGTGCAGATAGAGGGCTTGTTTTTTTGGGGGTTTTTTTGCTTTTACATACATATTATTTTTTAGTGTTGATCCTGAACTCGAGGATTATGATGCAAAGTCTGTTTTGATTAAGAATGGCTAGGCAATATTTTAAAAAAATACTATCAATGTATTTTTTTTTTGTCAGTATGGATAAATATTGATAGTTTGCTGAATTAGGGGGTGAATTTGAGAGTGCTGAGAAAATTTTCCACAAACAGCAGTCCTCTATCTCACATTATATCCTGGGCTTAACACCACCCAGGAGGACGACTGTGACTGGTTGAAAGAAATGCAAAGAAGAATGTTGTACAGTCGTGA